TCATAATTGTGGGGTATTTTTGTGAGTAGGTAAAATGTACTATTTTTGTTATAAGAGCATAAAACATCAATTCCTTCAATATAGTGACATGTACATGTACATGTATACCAGTAAATACATGTATAAGTACATGTATATTTAATTCCCCCTCTCCCTCTCTCTCTTACAGATTGTAGTTGGAATGTTCTAATTGCATAGTCGGCCACAGTCTCAACTTCCTTCAACGTCACTTGGAAGCTACCGTAATTAGCTGCTCCAAAGGAAGGCCAGTACTGATGACACTTTATCTATTGAAAATAAATAAAATAATACTAGTGTATTCTATATGTCCATTCTATAAAAGACTAATATTAGTTGGTAAGAAATGAACTTTTTTGAAGAATACATGTACATGTAGCTAATGTACATGCATTGTAAATGCAATAAAATTTTGACTACAAGTACATGTACAGTTTGTATTTTCTTAATCTATATATTCCTCTCTCTCTCTCTCTCTCTCTTTCTTCCTCTCTCTCTCTCTTTTTTTCTCTCCCTTCTTTTCTACCTTATCATCTTCCTTGAGGTTCGTAACCATTATGATGGTGGGGACATTGTACTCCCATATCATCCTCCAGAAGTCAGGGAAGGCAGCTGGTATGGGACCCTGAGTAGCTATGTAGTCCTTGGGAGAATTAAGACCCTAAGAAGAAAAGAAGATACAAAAAATATCAATAAAAGTTGATTTTTAAAGAATATTATGTCTTTATTATTTTTAATATAAAGTATTTATTTTCTTACTCCAATGAATGAGGCATTGATATAGTCAGATCCTGGATTGCCATCAGGTTTAAGAGTAACACGAGAATGATCATCTGTTAACAAAATGTGTTAATAAATCAGAGAAGTATCAATATCAATAATAAAAACATAAATAAAATTTACGCACAATGTAGTGAATTTATACACAATGTTGTTGAATGCAGGCTATTAACCAATATCAGTGTCAATCAATATCAGTATTAATTAATATCAGTGTTAATCAATATCAGTGATCATTTAATCTTACATGGTATTATGTTAACGTATCTATTCTTGCCGTGATTGATCGGGAGTTTAGCAGCATAAGAGGTGAAATTCCACTCTAACTCAATATCCTAAAGAAAATTTGAAGAATAGCGACAATTATAAAAAACAACAAAATTATTAATAGCATTAAAAATTAAAGCATGCTAAGTGAGCTAAAAAGATGAAGCAACTTTAAAAATTCATAAAAAATTCAATTTTGATTGGAGTCAGCTCAAACTTTCTACGCGACATAAGCAAGTTGAAAATAACTGATCATAAAAAGTTTGGATATGAATTAAAACTCACTGGATATTCCTCTTCAAGCCTGTCGCTGTTGTTAGATTGGAGTAGAGCCATCATCTCAATAAAGTCACTCACATTCAATGGAGGATGATTAGGATCAGCTAATGAAGGGAGAGAGAGAGAGAGAGAGAGGCAATTAAAAGTTTATTATTAATTAAGTACAACAACTATGTACATGTACATGCATAAACAGGCTACAGAGATTTAAGACTATTTAGTAAAGCTAATAACGATAAAATCATGTGATTTGTGATACATGTACATGTACATGTTAATTAAGCATCACAAATGTCATATATTAAGAATTATTTACAGAAATTTTTGCTAA